GATGACCACGCGGTACACCGGTTAGGCCCCCCCCCCCCCCCATACACCTGGGTTCAAAGCCCGGCTCTCGAGACTTTTGCGCAGCAGCCGGCGGCGTCGGCGGCGTGACGCGGGCCGGCGGCCCGACGAGGTCGCACTGCGCAGCGCGCGCGCCGTCGGCCGCCTGATGACCGCTGCGCCGACCTCTGGCGGCAGCAGGGCGGCGCACCGCGGCGCCGCCCCCCGGCTGGCTTAACTCAGACTGACACGGAACGCGTCATGGACCCGCTGACCAGCGCTGCAGCCGCCGCTCGTGACGACAAACTGGACCACGCCAGCAAGTCAACTGCGATGACGGTCAGCATGGCGGCTTGCTGACATTGCCGACCTCGCCTGCTCCTCCTGGACCCACCCACCAGCAAGTGGTCTCCAGTTGTCCTCAGAAGTTTAAGCCAGTTGTACCCCGCTGGTATTTAGCCCGTGCTAGGTCAGCTGGAACAGCTCCTCCGCGCTGGCGTTCACAAAGCCTCTCGCTCGCTTGCTGGCGGGCCTCTTGGCTAATCGCTGCTTTCTGCACGTTCTCGGCCGGCTTATGGCCGCACCCATCCCCGGCTATCAGACATCATCTGACAGCGACATGCATGTATTCGACTTGGCAGCTTCTCCGTGCATATGTACCTGGTGGTGACGTCAGTGGCCTGCTGCAGCATCCCAAACACCAGCGGTGTGACGCGATTCTGCCGGACTGTCGCGGCGAGGCCCTAGCGGGCGCCTCGGTGCCTGGAGAGCTTCCAGTAGACAGCAACAGTCGCACGGGGCGCAATCCACGCAACTTTCAGAATGTTGGGTGTTGGTGACATCACGCTGTGGATACTGTTGCCACATGTTAAGGTTTTGTCCTGTTCTTGACGAATCAAAGGCTAGTTTTGAGAGTTGTTGGGTGTAAGGAACTCGACTTTTTGCGTTCAACTCGGCGTCGAAGTAGGCGGGGCTTCGATCATTTTGCACACTTCCGTTCAATAATATGTTAAAATAGTTTGTTAGCACTGAATAACGTGTCAGCATCCACGTACCTAAAAGGCGCTGCTATTTACAAAACGACGCCAGCCTGCGCATATCTAATCGGACGTGACTTATCTCATGCTTGTAAAAAGAACTGCGCTATATATTGTTATGGCTTTACAGGCCTGTCCGATCTTCAAGAGCGACCAGCATTCATAATTCCCCAGAGGAACAAAGCCACGAACCTTTAGGTGGACCATCGTCAAACCAGAGGACCGCACGTGGATTCAGATACCAGACGACAGGACGACTCATGGTCCACGGGAGCTGATCTGTTCATGACAGATGACACCCAAATTCCAGGATAGCCTGCACCGCCGCTCACGTAATTGGTGGTTCGTGACATCATCTCCTGTAGTTCGGGTTTTGGTCCCCCTGTTGTACATACTCTTCCTGACGCTCCTGAGCACCTGTTTGGTGCAGTTCTGCCAGCGCCTGCTCCTGCTCCTTCTCCTGGCTCCTGGCACGGAGCCCAACGGGCCGCCGCTGCCGGGTGCTCCCGACGAGCGATTAAGCCAGATCGACACGGCGGCGGCCGCGTTGCCAGCACTTCCCGGAACCGGCGCGCCGCCAGGGCCGCGGCGTGCCAAACAGCGGCCCGTCTCGACCGCGCCCGGCCGCCACTCCCGTCGGAGGGGTGGCTGGCGCCGGCAACAGGGTCTGCTGAACGGCTGAAGCCCGCAGCAGGGTCTGCTGAACAGTACAACGCCGGCAGCAGGGTCCGCTGAACGGTACGACTCCCACAGCAGGGTCTGCTGAACGTAACGACTCCCGCAGCAGGGTCTGCTGAACGGTCCGACACCCGCAGCAGGGTCTGCTGAACGGTCCGAAGCCCGCAGCCGGGTCTGGTGAACGGCACGACGCCGGCAGCAGGGTCTGGTGAACGATCCGACGCCCGCAGCAGGGTCTGCTGAAAGGTCCGACGCCCGCAGCAGGGTCTGCTGAACGGTCCGAAGCTCGCAGCAGGGTCTGCTGAACAGTACGACGCCGGCAGCAGGGTCCGCTGAACGGTACGACCCTCACAGCAGGGTCTGCTGAACGGTACGACTCCCACAGCAGGGTCTGCTGAACAGTCCGACGCCCGCAGTAGGGTCTGGCGCAGGGGTGTGTCACTTTGTGTACCTTCGGGGAGGCCTGATCGATCCCCCAATGCTTGCTTACTTGAGCTGCCTTACCCTAACAATGTATGCGAGCAAACAGGGAATACTGGGCCGCTAAATGCAACAAGTGTCTGAATTGGTGGCACACTTAGCATCAAAATGCATCACTAGCAATATCGCCATCATTTAGCGTCGGCTTCAAAGGAGAAGCCATTCCTCAACATCAAAACATATTGGAACCGACGAAATATTTATTTTCGAATTTTTAGTTTCTTTGATCAAGGACGAAAGTCGGGGTGGCCGCATTGTCAGCTGTTTGCTCGAGAGTTTAGCGGGCGGTCAGATGTCTGTTGGAGGGTGTGGCAGGCCCATGCGTCTGTAGGAGGACGTATTGGACGGTTGGGCGTCCGCAGCAGGCTTTGGTGGATAAGGATAGGTACGCGGGGATCTGTTGGATGAGGATACGTACGTGAGGATTTGGTGGGTGCGGATATGTGCGCGAGCGAGGATCTAGTGGATGAGGATACGTACGCGAGAATTTGGTGGGTGGGGATATGTGCGCGAGGATCTGGTGGATGAGGATACGTAAGCGAGGATCTGGTGGATGAGGATACGTACGCGAGGATCTGGTGGATGAGGATACGTACGCGAGGATTTGGTGGGTGGGGATATGTGCGCGAGGATCTGGTGGATGAGGATGCATACGCGGGATCTGGAGAACACTCCGGCGTACGGAGTAGGGTTTGGTGGGCCATCAGACGTCCCGTGCGTCTGGGAAACCTGAGGCATGGGGTCGACTCCCCGCGGTGCTCCTCCCTCCTGCCAGGGTCAGAGGCACGCGACGGCACACAGCCTCAGCAGGCTGAGCACCCCATAAAGCCCCACGGCCAGTAGCATCCCTTCATGTACTTTCGGAGCCTGAGCCCCCACTAATTCGGAGGCCTGCAGGAGTGTGTAGTAGACAGCCAGAAGTCTCCAGAAATCTGGCGGACCGTTCAGGCGTCTACAGGACGGTGTGGTGGACGGACAGACGTCTGGAGGAGTTTGGTGGACGGACAGACGTCTGGAGAAAGGCCTGGTCGACGGCCATACGTCTGGAGGAAGGTCTGGTGGACAGACAGACGTTTGCAGGAGGTTCTGCACGCCACCCTGCCGTCGATCAGATATTCCGAGCCTGCCGGAACTGGCCCATCTGTAGCACGCATGATCGAGAACAACTGGGCATTCTAAATAAAGCGCCATCGGAGCCGGATCCGACAAAGACTGCTGGCATGCCCACCGCCACATCTGGCGCACGGTGCACCGCTCGCCCCATTTCACCGGAATGCTGCTGTCGATGAGACTTCAGTCGATCGCAGCCCACTCGCTGGGCATATCCGCAGACGCAGCCAGCTGACGACAAACGTTTGCGGACTGCTCAGCATGACTGCCAGAAGAGAAAACTCAGCGCCGCCTAACCCAGTTAGCCATACTTGTCGTGCAGGTTAAGCTAATCCTGCTTCTTCCTTGCGTCCAAAGATCTGTTGTTTCAGTAGCATCTTGACGCTTTCCCTTTTAAGATGTCGTTTTGAGGTCGGGTTGTTCCCAGATTCTAGTTTGACTTCTCCGATCCTGATTTGTCTCCGTCCCCACCTCAAAGACGTTGTTAAACCCATACTTTCACCAACAGTGAAGACGCGTTCATAAAATATGGTACGCATTTTTTGAAGACAATAAGATGCAGGCAATGTCAAGATCATGTCATGAAGGCATTGGGATGAACGGTGAACAGGCTGCTGGCAAGCATCCCATGGGTCGGTGGTAAACTTCGTTCCGAAAGGAGGGGAGGAAGTCTTGATGGAGCGTGGCAGAGGCATAGCGAGGGAGGGGGGGGGGGGGGGGGGGGTTTTGGGCAGCGGACGTCATGCTTAGACGTGGGGCGCGAATCACGCTTAAATATCTTAACAGAAAATAAAATCTTAAAGCCAGACCCGGTCGTTTTTCTTTCCTGACAAGAAACACGACCGTTATTTGCTTCGCATATGTAGCTCAGCCAGGGGCTAAACGTTACTTTTATGGGACGTTACGCTTACAACAGCGTAACCAGGTAGAGGGGGTTGCCAGCAGCGCAACAATCGCGTAACAAGAAAGAGGAGAGAGGGTTTTAATCATTTCAAGTGATGCATAACGTGTTTTATGGATGGCCCCTTCGCCTGACATCGGTATAGACGCCACCACGTGACTGAAGGGGTACAGGACAAATCAGGATTGCGGAGGTCACACTAAAATATCCGGGCAGCCTGCCAAACACCGACGTTTTAAATGCGAAAGCGTAAGAAGCGCGCTCTACGGGCAACATTGTAAAGGGCATCTCATCTTTTAAAAGAAAATTGGTGGGCATGGTTCCTCAGCCCCCTCCCCCTGTAGTTACACCCATGGATGATGGCGTTCGGAACAACATGCGCACCCCTTCCGTCCTTGAATTGCCGACAATCATCCATAGGCGGGCGAGCTACATACCGGGGCAGATGTGTTCCGGCCTCGTGAGCACGCCCGCGGCCATGACGCGAAGCTCACATAGCACAGCCACCGTGTGCGGGCATGAGAGTCATGCCTGCGATGATGCGATTTGCGCAGCGTCCGTACGGTATGCGGGTTGTGCAGAGTTATCCAGTGACGCGCGATGCGCGGTCACCTACGCCGCAGCTGCCGACCCGCCCGACAACGCGCCGCCGCACCCGCGGCAGCGTGACGCAGAGCAGCTGGCCGCCGGGCACGAGCCGCCCGGTGCTGAGCACGATCCGCGCCGCCCGCCGCCATCACGTCCAGCATTCGCTCCGTGCCACGGCACTCTTGCAGATCCACAGGTCACCTCCAAACACCGCCTGGTTTTTTTTTTGTTTATTACCAAAAAAAGTTCAGTACGAACGCTGACACAGAAGAATTTCTTCTCGACCAATGGCAACACAAACGAGTGACTAGTGCTCACTGGGGCGGCGCCGCCGCTGACACGATAACTGCATGGCATCAGCCGCGCGCGCCCACCCCACCCAACGCTGATTTCAAAACAAATACAAAATTAATTTATCAACGAAAAGCCGCTAGCCTGAGGCAGCCGACGGCGGCTCGCGCGCGCCGATCGCCGGAAGAGCCACCGGCGCAGCGCAGAACGACCAGCCCGGCCCAAACAACCACCACATCGTACCGTTACCACCAACAGTTAGTTCGTCTCCCATTGAGCAAAATAAATCTTTTTGTATTTTTCCCGTCTGCCGCCGGCAAGACGCCTGCCGGGCGCGCAGACGCTGGGAGAGCCATACACGCGTCCGCCGCTGGGGCGGCCCGCCGGCGGCCGGGCGCCGGGCTGGGGCGGGGCGGGCGTCCTTCTCACAGGGTCACAGCCGTGGACGCCCCCGGTCGCCGCCGGGCCGGCTGGCCGCGGCGGCGCCGGCCGCCGCCCGGTGCCCGCCGCCGGCCGGCTATGGAAGAGGTGGCGGCTCCGCCACCGCACAAAACGGGTCATGCGGGAGCCCGGGCGCCCGTGCGCCCGCTCGACGCCGGCGGACCGCTGTACACAGGTGATCCGGCGTCCGGACCTCTGACAAGGGCTATACATCGAGGCGGGTTCGGCGAGCCGGCCGGCCCGCCGTACAGAGTGCTGCAGCAGTCAGAGTACGCCCGAGAAGAGCTTCCGGAACACCGTCGAGACGTGTCTACAGAGACCCACCAACAAGGCACGTTTGTACAGTTCGAAGTGGCTGGACACAACAGGGAGCTTGTACCGCGACAACCCGACGGCCGCACTCTCCGCCGCCGCACGCATATATGTACAGACATATATAACTCCCGCTGGCTCGCTCGCCGTAACCAATGTCCTGCAGATGGCATCACACAACTGTCCGGCGGCGACACAGGCCGTTCGACAGGTAAAACGCTGCGCCCGCGCGCGCCGCTGCGCCGCCGCCTAGCCACTGGGCGAGGCGATGGCCGTCAGCCGCATGCTCTGCGTGGAGTGGAGACGCCGCTGCATGAGGCTGGACTCGAGCGGCGGCGACAGGCCGAACATGACGATCCCCTCGTCCGACTCGGCTTCGGCCTCGCTGCTGCTGGTCTCCTCATGGCGGCCGACGTCCATGGAGAGGTGGTGCAGCATGGCGCGGTTGAGCGCCATCGCCGACTGCGCGTAGAGCGAGAGGTCCTTGACGCTGCGGTTGCTGCGGATTACCTGCGGCGTGGTGAGCATGCTGGACGGCGCGCCGCCGTGGCGCACCCACGGGTGCGCCAGCACCATGTCGGCCGAGAGGCGCTTCAGCGGCTCCTTCACCAGCAGGTGGCGGATCAGGTCCTTGGCACCGTCGGAGATGTGCGCCCACTCGCGCTCCGGGAACTCGAACACGCCTTCGTGGATGCTGAAGAAGAGGAGGTCCCGGCAGCGCACGCACGCCTCGCCCCGCTCCCAGCCGCAGTTCATGCCGCAGTTGCCGTAGAACGGCGGGTAGCCCGACAGCAGGATGTACATGATGACGCCCAGCGACCAGAGGTCGCAGCGCTTGTCGTACACCGAGCAGTCGTCGTCGTCGCTGAAGAACGCCTCTACCACCTCCGGAGCCATGAACTCAGCGCTGCCGACCTGCGGACGGGCGGAGAACTCGGTCAGACGGGCGGTGACGGCTGCTGTTTACACAGGAACGCCGGCCGGGCACTGGCTGCCGGCCGGGTGATGCAACTCACGACAGCCGGTCGCCACGCGCCGGCCAGCGCCGTTGACGTCACAGCCGCAGCTCGTGCTTACGTCGGCGCATCCCCCCGCACCCGTACCCGTACACGTGCCGCGAGCCGCGCGCCGCCCGCCCGCCGCATCCCGATGCACCCCCGCCCCACTCCCCGGGCCGTCGGCAAAACAGCCGACGGCGGCTTTGTTCCCGCGACCGGCCCCTCGCCGTCTCCGCTGCGTCGAGCCAGACACGACGAAGGGCGACCGGCTGCCAGCATCGATCAGGCGGCGGCCGCGGCGACCCCTGAAGGGCGCGCCACGCGGCGGCCGCACCCCGCGCCGCACGACCACAGCCCAGACCGGGAGGGGCCGACGCGCGCTCGTACCGACGCCTATTTGCATAGTCGGCCGGTGCAAACACCACGCGCACACGCACACGTGCAGCGGCGGCCGGCGGGATGGATGCCACCGCCCGACCGGCGCGCAAACAACCGTTGACGTCACACCACGTGCAAAACATCGCGGGCTGGCACGGACGGCGGCGGCACGGCGACCGTTTTCATACTGCTGCCGAGGCGTTTTTGTCCGTCGGACGGCGGATGGCGCGGGCGACGCCAGCGCGCGGGAGCGACGGGCGAGGCGGCGTGCGAGCAGGCCCGCCCGGAGACAGCGCAGCGTCTGGAGCCCGGCCGCGTATGAGGCTCGGGCACGTGACCATGAACTAATGCGCAGCGGCCGTCTCGCGCTCGGCACGTGGCTCTTCCACGAATTCACGCCGGCGCGTACTGGTCCGACCTTATCAATCGCCTTCCCAACCCCCCAACCCCCCCCCCTCCCTCAAATGCGCACTTGGCAACCCGCAAGCGTTCTTCTCGGAGGGAACGTGGGCGTCGCCGGCTGCTGCCCTACTTCTCAAGCGGCCGGGACGACGGAGGGGCCCCACCCCCCGGCTCTCGCCACGCCTAGCTCGTACGTAAACACCCGACTGACCCTATCCCAACTTTCACAGTCGATTTTCTGCACGCGTGGCAGAAACGAGACTCCATGCAGACCTGTTGTCTGGACGGACGGGACCGCGGGCTGACGGCAAAAACATCTCGCAGCCGCCGCCGACTCCACTGTGCCCGCGCCCCCGGCACACAACAGTGTGCGTGACCCCGGACCGTGGCGCGCTATACGTACCGGGGTGTGCAGCTGCGGCGTCGTGATGGGTGTCGGCTGGTTCGGGGTGAACTGGATGCCAGAGCCCAGGTCGAAATCACAGATCTTCACGGGCGTGATCGTGTCCCGGTTCACGCACAGGATGTTCTCCGGTTTCAGGTCACGATGCGCAATGCCTGCGGACGGGGGAGAGCCGGGTCATGTTGGGTGGCGGGTCACGAGGCCACCGGGTGATGGGAGCCGCTTGGCGGGCCGCCAACACCGACTCCAGCGGCGGCGGCGGCGGCGGCGGCGGTGGCAGCGGGTCGG